CCTTTTCCAGGTGGACAAGGCAGCAGCAGACAGGTTGAGCCCGCTTGTCTGTTCACTGGTTTGGCAAGGTGCCTGAGTGTGCACTGGACGGGCACTGTCTCCCTCCTGATGTTTGTCCAGTGGTGTGGGAGTGTTTACAGCCCCTTGCCAGATAGGCAGGGTTGTCAGACGGGGAGTGGTACAGGCTCACTTTCCTCAGTTCAGCAGCTGGTTGAGGGGTAGGAGGGAAGGGGCGATGTAGGCCCAGTGCAGCCGCAGGCCTGAGCCAGGGACACTCTAGCTGCAGCGGCACAGAGACAGCCAGTGGGAAGGGTTCATGGGGTATAGGACTCTGTGGGAGAAAGAAGGAAAAAGAAAGAAAAAAAGGGGGGTACCTGGCAGATGGAAGCAGGGTGGACCTGGGGGCTGATAGGAAGGGAAGAGGTGGCGTATGGGGCTAGGCAGGAGGTAGAAAGCAGTCGGACGGTGGCTCTTTAGCCACAGTCGTGTGGCATGTCCCAGGGGGAATGAGTGGAGGTGGCTTATGTGCTAGGTGAGAGGGAAAGAAAAATAAACACAATAAAATAAAAAGATGGTGCAGTGAGGGCTGTGGGGTGGGGGTGGGTGGGAACTAGAGTGGTGGTGGGCCTGTAGGTCTCTACCTGTGGTGGTGGGGTGAGGGGCAGCGGAAAGGGGTAGAGGTGGTGTACAGGGCTAGGTGGGAGGGAGAAAGAGATGGTAAAAAGGGGAAAAAAAGAAAAAAAACAGCGCTGTGGGAGCTGTCAGGTGGGGGTGGAGCGGATCCGAGCTGGTGGCAGTTCGGTGTCTTTCTAGCTAAGGAAGTGTGGCGTAGCTTGGCGGGAAGGGGTAGAGGTGCGGTACAGGGCTAGGTGGGAGGTATAAATAAAAAGGAGAAAGGAGGAAAAAAAGAAAAAGAAAAAAAATGGTATAGCAGGAGCCTGTGGGTGGAGCGGGGTGAAACCTGGCTGGTGGCAGGCTGGTAGCTCTCTAGCCAAGGTGGCTCGGTATGGCCTGTTGAGGGGGTGAAGGTGGTGTACAGGACAGAAGGGTGAGGGTTTGGAAAGCATGTTTCTCTGGTTACTGGGTGTTCTTTCTCCTGCTAGGAACTCCATGAAGCTGGCTTCCTGTACTCCCTGTCCAGGGTCACTGATGGCTGTGCTCCAAGATGGCAACGCAGTGCCATGTTAGTTGGCAGGGGACCTCCACTCTGTATCTCTCCTCATTCTCTTTTTTCCTTCAGTTTCTTCTTCCATTTGGTGTTTAATGTATTTTTTTTATCCTTTTATGTGATGGTTAGGGTTCCAGGATTGACATTTTGTTATCTGTTTTACTTAGTTTTTCAGGTCTCTGCTGCAGAGGGATGCCATGATGCATCTGTCTAGGGCGCCATGTTGGCTCCACCTCCTTTTTTATTCTGATGAGTGGGTTTGTTAACTCTCTTAGTGGCTACCTTCCAATTTATTTCTTGGTATTGCCTTGACTTTCTCTCCATATGAAAGTTCTGTAACTTCACCATTTATTTACCCTTTTTGTTTTGATGTTGTAATTTATAGATTAATATCTCTGCTTGCCTGTTTTCAGTCTTTTAGCTTTGTTCTATTTTTGGGAATTCTTTATCTGGGTTGGTGTCTGGATGATGCTGACCTGTGTCCTGATCTCAGTTTGTTGTCTAATACTGCTAATTCTTTATCTGAAGGACACCTTTTAACATTTCTTATAAGTCTGGTCTGGTTTTTACAAATTCCCTTAATTTTTGTTTATCTGGAAATGACCTAATTTCACCACCATATTTGAGAGACAGTTTTGCTGGATATGTAATTCTTGGTTGTCAGTTTTTTCTTTCAAGGTTTTATATATGTCATCCCATTGCCTTCTGGCCTCCACGGTTTCTGTCGAGTAATCAGAGCTCAGTCTTATCATTTCCCCTTTGTACATGACATTTCGTGTCTCCTGAGCTGCTCCCAGGATTCTTTCTTTGTCTTTGATTTTGGCAAATTAGATTATGATATGTTGTCGTTTCTTTTGTGGTCTATCCTGTAAACGGTTCACTCAGCTTCTTGGATGGGTTTCTTCTCATCTTTCATCATAAAAGGAAAGTTTTCTTTCAGCAAATATTCAACAATTCTGTGTTTTCCACTGCCTCCTCCTGTTCTGATACTGCGATCATGTGCAAATTTTTCCTTTTGATAGTGTCCCACATAATTCTTAGGCTTTCTTCATTCTTTTTTCTGATTTTTCCTCAAACAAACTGGTGTCAATAGATTTGTCCTTAATTTTGCTAAGTCTGTCTTCCAGTAATTCAATTCTATTCCTATATCCTTCTATTAAATTGTCCATTTCTGAAAATATATTGTTAAACTTTTGGATTTCTAGTTGTTGTTTTTGTATGATTTCTAGTTGTCTATTTATTTTGTCATTTTGTTCTTGCATTGTTTTCCTCAGTTGTTCTATTGCTTTGTCTGTGTTTTCCCTGGTTTTATCTGGTTTTCCTTTATCTCTTGGAGAACCACTGAAAATTAAAAAGTATTTTGAATGCCTTTTCAGGTAGTTACACTGCGATTTCTTCCTCCAGGAGGTTATATGAGCTTTATTTTGTCACTTGCTGGAGCAATCCTGACCTGTTTCTGTATGTGATTTGATATTGTCTTGTTTTCGAGGCATAAAGGTGTTATTATATGTATTGATTTACTGTTTGTCTGCTGCATCCTGACTCTTTGTTTTGATATGTCTGAGCAGGCAGAGCGTGTGTGATACGCTAGTCACTAGTCTGGTCACACTGGTGCTCTCACCTCCCATCTCCAGGTGGGTGGGGCAGTAACTGGGTGTGAGAGCATGGTTCTCTGCTTGCTGGTCTTGGGCAACTGAGGATATAGCTGGTGTTTCTGGTGAGATGATGTATCTCTCCAGCTGGTCAGCTGGACGTGGGTGCAAGAAGCGTTCTCACTGGCCACTGGGTTGGGTATTGTGTGCGCACTCTGTTGGTTGCTGGGTGTTCTAGTTGAGGGTGTCCAGGTCGTCAGTCACTGGGTGAGTAGTAAAGAAACTCTCATTGACCATCCCTGGCAGGATGGGCTGGGTGGGGGTGGTCAGGGAGGGCACAAGCCTCCAGTTATAGAGGGGGCAATGTGGAGGGCAAGGTAGGGGAGATGTCACCAGCCCATATGTGCCCGGTTGGAGGGCATGCCCCTGTCCACTACAGCGTGCTGCTGGGGAGGATGTGCTACCCGTCCTCAGGCTCCCAGTGCAGGTGGTTGGAGGAAGTAGTAGGCGTCGCTGGACCACAGCCCTGGCACTGGTGGTTAGGTGTAGGAGCTCGCGGGTGCCTCTGCTTGCCAGGTCGAGGAATAGAGGGAGGTGGGTGGCAGGAGTGCGAACATGAGGACTCATGGTAGCTGGCACTCGCATAGTGGGCAGGGGCTGGGCGATGTACAGGATATCTTATGCACACCAACAGGCAGGTGGGAAAGGTAGAGCAGGGGTCGAAGTCATGCCGGAGCTGTCTGCTGGAGTGGGGGAGAAAGGGCAAGGTGGGTAGTGGGGCCTATGCTGGAATGTCCTGCTGGCACTTGGCGTGGTTGGGCGATGGGAAAGACAGGATGGGTGGCCAAGCTGAGCCGACTTGTCCTTTCTGAGCTCAGCGGGGTCAGTGGGCAGAAAGGGTGGGTTGGGCACTCAGCAGTCAGGAGAATGGGAAAGGTGGCGCGAGGGTGAAGCCACGCTGAAGTTGAGCTGGAACTGTTTGCCAATGCTCAGGTCTCTCGGGCAGGTGGTGGCATGGGGCCAAAGGAGCTAGAAGTGCCTGCCAGCACTGAGTCCCTCAGCCAGGCAGGTGAGGTGGGGCAGGTGGCTGAGTTGGGATGGGGGAAGAAAAAGAAAACAGAAGTGGGGAGACTTGTACTGTGGTCCGCAGCAGACTGGGCTGCAAGGATGAGGGGCTTGTGCTGTTTTTCACCTTGTTTCAATTTGGGTGTGTCTTCTCAGTTTCTCTGTGTCCTGATGGGAATTGCATGAAGGTGCCTCCTATGCTCCTCACCTGGGATCACTGCTGTCTTTGTCTCAACATGGCCCCGTCACGCTGGGCCAGTCTTTTCTTGTTCACTGTTTTCAGTTAGTTTCTTCTTCCAGTTGGTATCCGATCTAGTTCTTTATTCCTTCATTTGATGCTCAGGGTTCCCGGACTGACGTCTATATCTATTTTACTTGGTTTTTCAGGTCTTTGCTGCAGAAGGACATTGTGTTGCGTATGACTAGTCTACCATTTTGGCCAGTAGCCCAGAGTATGTACTCTGAACGACTGCAGGTTTTTTTTAAGAGGGGGAGTCAAGTCATTTGTTTGTCATTTACATGAAAACAGAAAATTTAGGGGTAGAGGGAGAAGAAGAAGGGAGCTACCCAGTTGCTTAGATTTCTGAAATTTGCTGAAAACTGTATTATGGCCTATAATATGGCCTATCTTGGAGTGTATATTTTGCTGTTGTTCAGTGGTTGTCTTCTTTCAAGGGTCAAATATTCTCCAGTGTCTCCATGCTGTTGATCACTCTCCAGTGTCCAGTGCCTTAAACATTTTTTTTTTTTTAAATATATTTTGTCCAGAGTTTATCACTGTTATTAGTGAGGGGGTTACTCTGTTACAAGGTACTACAACCATTACCTGTTGCCAGAACTCACAGACATCTTGTAATACAAGATAAAACCTTATTTTTAAGCCAGTATGTGTTAGACTTTTTGTTTCTCTCAAGCAAAAAAAGTCCTAACACATGCATATACACTGTAGTTCACAATGTATAAACTCAAATGCCAAGAATATTGGGGGTGGGGGTTTCCTTCAACTAGAACTATTATCAACTCTACTTGACCTATATTAAATTAAATTAGAAACTAATTTTACAGGAAGAAAAGGCACATAATTTGACTGTTTTTTCTTATGTCAGTAAAATTATTTACAAAATGTTTTCACAGTATTTACAAATGAAGAAGGATATACATTCAAAGATTGTTACCTTTACACTTAGGAGGCTCGCTACTCCATTCTCCATTGGCAGAACAAACAAGGCTTTCTTGTCCAACAAGTGAATATTGATCTGATCCACTTTGACGATTACAACTATAATGTACTACGTCACTATATGCAAAGACTTCCTTTCCCATATTGCTGTACTGTCCATTTTCTATGTTTGGAGGTGGTGCACACAAAACCCCTTAAAAAGGGAAAAAAGAGAAAATCATTCATATATATATATACACACACTTATCTACACACACACATATACGAAATGGGAAATGAAAGGCACAAGATTAAGACTTCATTAGTTAAGTTTTATGAACTGCCTTCAATAAATTCATCAACATGATTTCTACAAGCTAGTTATGAATCCAAAAACCACTTGGAAGAAGGTTTCTATGTAAAAATGCATTATCCCAAATTCAAAGCCATACCTTAGAAATAAGCTTTAAGAATACAACATTTTCTTAAGGTATGAAATACCTATATTTACCTGCAAGGCCATGCTAGTAATCATAAGAGATTTTGATAACTTAAGGAAAACTTGAGCTTCTGAGTAAAAATAAAACTGAACTCCAGTTGAGAAATGCTTTACAATTTATAAATATATCCATCCTCTACCTCTGTGTTTCACAGTAATACTAAGAAATCACTGTATCGTTTCACTCTTATTCTCATGAGTGCACAGTAAAAGTTTCCAGAGGCTCCTAACTGTGTGAATATTGCAATAGACTGAATGCAGAAGTAAATACAAGAATCCAGATGTCTTCCTTTAAGCCAAATACTGAAGAGATTTGCAAAATTGTAAAACAATGCCACTATTCTATTATTCTTGTTTTGGAAAATTTTTATTTTTCATAAAAATATACTAAATATGTTAACATGTACCAAGTTTACTATTCTTAAAAAACGAATAAATTAATATTTTAAAAAGTCTCAGTTTTAATTCCAGTATGATAAATATCAATAGATACAAAGAAAAGCCCTGTGGGGTCCTCCTCAATTTAAAAGTGTAAAGGGGTCACGAGGCCGAAAAGCTTGAGAACTGTTAATCTAAACTTTTAAAAACAGAATTTACTTACTTTCACATATCGGAGGATCACCGCTCCATCTAACTGAACCTTCAGCAATCTCACAATATAAAGTTTTTTTACCAATGAGGTAATGACTAAGTGAGAAAAGAAAAGGTTACTGTTTTCTTTAGCAGTTAACAAGATGCACATAATAATGCAGGGAATTTTTATATGGTTGTTTTTCTACACTGCAGTAGTTTTAGGGAAAGATTTCATAAATGACATATAGTAAAAGTGCTAACTAATCTACAGTTTAATCTAATAAACAGTATCTTCATTTGAATACATACTAGCCAGGGGCAAAAGTGTCCACATAAATCTGTCTGGCTTATTTGCTGCCTCCTGCAGTCACATTACACATTCATTTCTGTGCTTCTGCTCATGCCATTCTACTCAACGAGAACATGCATCTCAATAAGATCAGTCTCTAGAGCTGGACTGCGTGGATCTGAGTCTCACTTCCACAACTTACTAGTTATTTGAGCTTGGGCAAGTGACTTAATATTTCTCTTCCTCAGTTTCCTCATCTATAAAAAGGGGCTAATAATACATGCCTCACAGGACTGCTCTCAGGATCAAATGAGTTAGCATCTGGCACGTAAGTGCTATGTAGGTATTAGCTCTTATTGATACTCTTCAGATCACAGTATCTTTCTAGACATAGCTCAGGAATACCTCTACTCTATGAAATCTTCCCCGATGATTTAAATTCATGGTAATCTCTCCTCCTTCTGGACTCTCAGTCTAATTATCATAAATAATTCTATTTACTGGGCACTTCTCATTGACTATTTTGCTTTGATAACTCTCCGTATATATCGTATTTCTCAATAAGGTTACAACTTCCTTGAGAAGGTTCTATGTCTTAAACTTTTAATATTGCTCCAAGTGTCTAGTAGGCTCGCTCTCTGTAACTATTGACTGGATGCTCCAATATTCTTATTTCATCAAGTTAAAAAAACAGCACATAGTCACAGCTGACTTTTCCTCCAAGGCTCACTCATTTTTTCTATATTATGGTAGAGTACATTTACTCTCTCAGTGCACATTTTTCATAAATGCACAATATCCCCAAAATATACTATTAAAAGAGTCCTATAGAACAAAGTCTATTATTGAGTGCTTAGTGCTTCTCTTTGAGAAGCTTCACTCCTTTACAGCAATCTCAAAGATAAGGTTTTCCAACTGACAGATCTCGATCAACATGAGGGTCAAGGATAACCAGGTCAATTCTGGTCTAGTAACACTGACTACAGAATATATAGAGTTATATTCTGGATATAAGAATATCTTTGGTTGGCAATTCCACCTCCTACTTCTATAAGCCCTACTTCAGCTCTGAGAGTTGACATCTTTAAATAGGGTACACTTGGCTATCAAGCATAAAGTAACCAATGATTACTACACTTTTAATGTTTACAATAGGCTTATTATTTGATAAAACAGTATTATATAATTTTGCTTTCCTTCAATTCAAATTTCTTTCTATTTATTACACATCTTCCCAGTCTTCATGAAAATGCCAAGAGTTGTTTCGGTACAAGTACAATTTTTCACACAGACAGCAAAATGAATCAAGTTTACATGAATGCCTAAGAAGAAAAGTAAAACAAAAATGGAATTAGTAACATTTGCCTCATTTCCTCTAAGGAGCAACTTACTTACCCCTCGTCACAAACAAAGTCAATCTGTGAGCCAAACTCCAAGGTTTCATTTGTGAATATTACACGGCCATTTCCTGGGTCTCCTAGATTGCTACACCGTTTTTCTAAAAGAAAATAATTTGAAAATTGGTTTTTATACCAGTTTCCAAACATATATGAATAAAAAATCAAAATTCTACATTGTTCTTTTGAATTAATGGGAATGTTATTTTCTTGATTTAGCTACTACAATGGCAAACTTAAGACTCACATTTTCCCAGGCAACCAGTTGCCAAGAAAAAGATTCCCTGGAGATTTCTCAAAGCCTGAAAAAATACACTGCTTTCTAAAACCTAGTTTCTCAAGAAAATCATCATTGCAATAGTAGAGCATGCACCCTAAAATGTGACAAAGTCTCTACAGTAAGCGAAACAAACAAAAAGAGCTTTGTTTACTTACTTGTACAAGCTTCTGAGAGAGGTGTCCATGAGTTATCAGCCTGACAAACAGCAGTCCTGGCAAAGGAAGGCTTTACCATGTATCCTAAGCGACACTGATATTTGACTGACTCCCCAGGAGCATAACTGTCTTTAATGGGATCCATGAGCCTCATAGTTTCATATCTTGGTGGAGGAGCACAAGCATCTAGGGAAAAGGGAATGAGAACACAAAAATGAAGCAGTGACATGAATGACACCAGCCAGGGCCTGTGGTTTGACAGCAGGTAGTAGAGAATAAATGGAAAGGTCCTTGGCAAGACTGTTCAGTGCTTTTACCCAAGTGTTGGCAGTGGTGGCAGCATGTACCTTGCTTGCTTTAAACAATATCCTATTAGCTTTTTGATAAAGTGAATTTTCATTTGACAGTAAATTTGAGAGACAGCATCATTGTTTTTGGTCTTAAAAATATACAAAGGTATGCATTCTTTCCCACCTTTGTCTGGGGGTTCTCCCTAGAGACAGAACCAATGAGAGAGAGAGATTTACTTTAAGGAATTGGCTTATGGCATTGTGGGGGTTGGCAAGTCCAAAATCCATGGGTCAGGTCACAGGCTGGAAACTCCAGCAGTCTGTTTGAAATCTACTGGTCAGATGACAAGTTGGAAATTCTGGTAGGATGTCTATTTATAGTTTTGAGGCAGAATCTGTCTTCCTTGGGAAACCGCAGATTTTGCTCTTAAGGCCTTCAACTGATTGGATGTGGCCCACCCACGTTATCAAGGGTAATCTGCTTTACTTAAGGCCAACTGTAAATCCCTTCATAGAAACATCTACACTAGTGTTTGACTAAACAACTGGACATTACGGCCTAGCCAAGCTGACATGTAAAATTAATCATCAGAGTCCATCCCTTGTAAACTTGGCACCCACACATATCTCCTTGAACTATACTCCATCTCCAAAAAAAAAAAGACAATAACAAAGGGATACTTCTGCCTAATATAACTGTACTGTGTACAACCCAAAACACACTAACCTTTCCCCCAAAGAGGATGTACACACACATACATTTATTTAAAAAAAAATGCTCATAATAATTTCAGTCCTCATTTCTGCAGCTGCTCATGGGGTCATGTTGTGTGTTGTCTAGCTGACTCCAACTCATAGCGACGCTATAGGACAGAGTAGAACTGCCCCATGGGGTTTCCTAGGCTGAAATCTTTAAGAGAGCAGATAGCCATGTCTTTTCTCCCATGGATAGGCTGGTGGGTTTGAACCACTGACCTTTCGATTAGCGGCCAAGCACTTAACCATTGCACCACCAGGGCTACTATCCATCCCATATTCCCTTTGTCCTCAGCAAGCACCTCGGTTGTGGTTCTTTGCTTGGGGGGGTGACCCAAACCTTCATTCCTGAAGGGTCTGGGACATTAGCAGTCCTGCCTGAATTAGGTTTTTGTAGTTTTCCATTGATTGTAATCACAGGGCATGGCAGTACTAAGAGATGCCCTAAGGGATCTCCTGTATTCCATCTATATTCTTTCTTAACCTTCATTGTGTAATAACAGTTCGATTTCTGCCTGGTGATCAGGATAAATCACACCAGTCGGTACAGTAATTTCCTTCTTTGCCTGTTGATTCACAGGTATGAGCAGCCCAAAATGGCTGGGTGGCATTCTTAACTTCCAATTCAGTGGAATTATTGTTGTGTCTTCTAGTGGAAGCATTTCTCTCTTTGGAACTAAGACCTTTAAACCAGCAGAGCACGCAGGTGGCAAATACTTTGAAAGTAGATCACTAGGGGTAATAGTGAGTGGTGCCATTCCCATCTCTACCCTTGATTCCTGGATTTGTGAATCCTGGCTACGGGAGAAACAGCACCATTTATTAGACACTGGTTTAGAACATACACAGTTTCCTGGAGAATACTGTCCCAGCCCTGAAAGCTGGTGCCATAATGAAGTCTTCAAAAGGCCTTTCTACCGTTCTATCAAGTCAGCTGCTTCAGGATGATGAGGAACATGGCAGGAGAATTCCATGAGCATGGGCCCACTGTGTGTGTGAAGTGAGTTCCCTGATCAGAAGCAATGCTACATGGAATGCCATGACAGTAGATAAAGCATTCTGTAAGTCCGCAGATGGTAGTTTTGGCAGAAGCATTGTGTGCAGGGAAAAGAAATCCATACCCAGAGAAAGTGCCTATTCTTGTGAGAACAAAATGCTGCCCCTTCCATGATGGAAGTAGTCCAGTGTGATCAACCTGCCACCAGGTGGTTAGCATATCACCCTGGGTAATGGCCATATCAGGGACTTGATGCTGGTCTCTAACAAGTTGGCCTTGGTAAATGCAGGTCCATGTTGCTGAGCCCCATACATAACCTCCATCCCTGCCACCATGGCCACTTTGCTCATGAGTCTATTCGACAATAACTGGAGCGGCTGGGGAAAGAGGATGAATGGTATTCACCGAATGGGTCATCCTATCCACTTGATTATTAAAATCCTCCTCTGCTGAGGTCACACTTTGGTAAGCATTCGTATGAGACACAAATAGCATTAGGTTTTCAGCCCATTCAGAGAGGTCTATCCACACACCTCCTCCCCCAACCTCCTTGTCACCAATTTTCCAATCATGTTCCTGCTAAGTCCCTGACCATCCAGACAAACCACTGGCCACATCCTATGAATTGGTATACAATCACACATCTGGCCATTTGTCCTTCCAAGCACATGAACCACTCGGTGCACTACTCGAAATTCTGCCCACTAAGAGGATTTCGCTTCACCACTGTCCTTTAGGTAAGTCCGAGGAAGAGGCTGTAGTGCTATAGCAGTTCCCTTCCTGGTAGTGCCTGCATATCACAGAGAATCTTTGTAAATTAGGCCCGAGTTTTCTCTTCCTCAGTCAACTGATCATAGGGAACTCCCCCCATGAGACCACAGATGCTGACTGGGAGAGACGGGATATGCTGTGAGAAGGAGTTTCCTGCATCGAATATTTGTGGACTCACTGCAAGAAAAGTGGGAACACGGTTCATATCACTATTGTTGCTGCTGTGTGCTGCTGAGTCAATTCCGACTCCTAGCAACCCTATATGACAGTAGAACTGCCCTACAGGATTTCCTAGGCTGTAATCTTTATGGGAGCAGATTGCCTGGTCTTCTCTCCTGCAGAGTGGGTTCGAACCACTGACCTTTCAGTTACCAGCTGAGTGCACTTAACCATTATGCCACAAACCAGAAGACAAACCATTATCACTGGACCCCTAGAAATTTCATCGAAGTGAAAGGCCCCTGAATTTTTGTCAGATTTATTTCCCACCTTCTAACATGCAGTGTCTTACCAATAAGTCTACAGCAGTTACTACTTTTTGCTCACTAGGTCCAATCAGCATGAAATCATCACTGTAATGGACCAGTGTGACATCTTAGGGAAGGGAAAGGTGATCAAGGTCCCTGCAGACTAAATTATGACATAGGGTGGAGAGTTGATATATCACTGAGGGAATGTAGTGAAGGTGTGTTGCTGGCCTTCCCAGATGAAAGGAAACTGCTTCTGGTGGTCTTCACTAACAAGTATTGAGAAAAAACCATTTACCAAATCAATAGCTGTGTACCAGGTATCACTGCTCAAGGCATGAAATCGTATCTGCAACAGAAGCTGCAACTGGAGTCACCACCTGGTTAAGTTTACGGTAATCCACTGTGATTCTCCAGGAACCATGTATTTTCTGCACAGGCCAAAGAGGCGAGTTGAATGCGGATGTGGGAAAAATTACTAACCCTGCATCCTTCAAGTCCTCGATGGTGGCACTAATCTTTGCAATCCCTCCAGGAACGTGGTATTGCTTCTAGTTTACTATTTTACTAGGCAGAGGTAGTTCTAGTGGCTTCCACTTGGCCTTTCCTACAATAATAGCCTTTCCTCCACAGGTTAGGGAACCAATGTGGATATTCCGCCAGTTGCTAAGTATGTCTATTCCAATGACACATTCCAGAACTAGGGAAATACCACAAGATGGGTTTGTGAGACAAGCTTGAGTTAAAATTCCATTGATCACCTGATCTTCATAAGCTGCTATTCTGACTGGTTTACCACGGTGATGTTTTAGGTCCCTTGGAATTATTGTCAGTTCAGAACCAGTGTCCAGTAATCCCGAAAAGTCTAATTATTTCCTTTTCCCCAGTGCACAGTCACTCTGGTAAAAGGCTATAGGCCCCTTTTGGGAAGGCTAGGAGAAAGACTAATTGTATAAATTTTTGGCAGTGCAGTGGGGTCCTTCCTCATGATCAACACCACAGGTCTCTGTAAGTCATACCATTCTGATTACCATATTTCTACACAAATAAAGTGCGCTTTATATGTGTTTGTCAACCACACTAAAAATTGGCATAGTGGTGCTTATGAAAATACCTCATGGCGGGGAGTACAGAGAGCAAACACACGTAGAAGGTGTGAGTTATTTGCATAAAAACTCTGCTGTCCTTTATGGTAACCATGCCCACTTTGTCTCTGGTGATTAAGTGCTGCCACTTGGCCATTGTCACCTTGGGATCCAATCACCCCCACTGCATTTAGGTTTCTGTGATCACATTAAGGTTGTGCGTCTACTTGGCTTGGCCATGATTCTCAGCGGTTTGGCAGTTATGATGTAGTGCGGCAGTCGTATGATGATGTGATCACTTCCATGATGAGATTCGATATAATGTGATCACCTCCAAGACGGGATATGCTGTGAGAAGGAGTTTCCTGCATCGAATATTTGTGGACTCACTGCAAGGCTAGTGGGCTTCTCCACCCCCATCTAATGAGATTAACCCAGCTATGTCTAAAAAGCCTTTGTACGAGTCATGGTCTGGGGCATCACCTGAGGCAGATGCCTTACGAGACAATGCTGAATGTTCTCAAAACATATGCCCACCACCGATTTTGCCTTCTAGGCCTATAACTAGACACAAGTCCCAGCGAGCCCCAAAAGGTAAAGTACAAACTGTAACCCAAGAGGAGGTATGCTATACTCCAAAAGAACTGCTTGGCTTTTCTAGTATGTATGAACAAAAACCCGAGGACTATGTATGGGAATGGCTATTAAGGGTGTGGGATAATGGTACAAGGAATATAAAGTTGGATCAGTCTGACTTTATTGATACGGGCCCACTAAGCACAGATTCTTCATTCAATGTTTCAGCTCAAGAGGTTAGGAA